ATTTCTTCAACCAAAAATGTACAGGAATTGCAGAGATTATTCAAGAGCCCCTGCTCAATCTGATTTAGAGAAGGATGTCAACTCCTGACTTTCATTCCCTCTCTGTAAAGGGGCACTTGGAACATGGTTTAAAGATGTATCTTCAGGGAACTGTTAGCCACAGGGCATTGACTATGCAAGTCTGATATCTAAACATAAACATGATCGCCAGCTGTGAGTGAGCAATTACATCATCTTTGGGGGCTCAAGAAGTCACTGAGCCTGCTATGAGACATCCAGAAACACCTCAGCAGAATCACACAACAAATGTGGATGATGTAGTTTGGGTAGCTGCTGTTTTCCCTTGAACAAACTGGCTACTCTATTGGAGTAAATTTGTGGACTGAACATGAGAGAGAAAGAAGTAAATAGCAACCTAAATAGCTGATAGACCAGCTGCCATTGTTTTCTGATCTATGGGTCCAGTGCTTTGCTAGAAAAGAGTATAAGACAGGGAACCTTGTTGCTATGATGAAGATTATTTAACCTAAAATATGATAATGTGTGCTAAATTAAGTTGACAAGAGAATTGTAAGATAATTATAAAATACATGCACTCCAAATCTTAGTTAACATCTCACATACTTCCATAGGCTTGCTATTATACTACAAATGAAACAGGCATAAAAATGCAAATCATTAGTGAAAAATGCCCAAAAATTAGAAGAGAATAAAGAATAAAAGTGGGAAGAATAACCTTGCAGATGTTTACAGAACGATGTACATATTGTGGGCCAAGATTAATGGGAATTTAAATTATATCATAATAAATTTTATGTTATCTAAAAATTCTGAAATTTTGTGGTATATATTCCATGTTATGAAGGACATTGTTACTCATTCAAAATGAAAATATGGACCTTATCTTAATAACTGAGAAAACATATAATGATTTATGAGTAGAAGAGGTAGGTACCTGTGGACCTGAAGCTTGAAACTTCCAGTAGGTTACATGGGTGAAGACTGGAAAAAGAAATTTAAGTGCCATTGCTTTAAGAGAGAACATTGGGCCATGCAATAAACCACTCTTCTTTGACTGCAGAAACACTTTCCCTTTCTACCATTTCATTTTGTGTGTGTGTGTGTGTGTGTGTGTGTGTGCGCGCGCGCGCGCGTGCATTGCATGTGAATGGTGAGAGATAGGGATCTAGTTTTATTTTTCTGCATGCCTTTATCCAATTTGATCAACACTATTTGTTGAACATGCTGTCTTTTCTCCAGTGTGCATTTTTGACTCCTTTGACAAAAATCAGATGGCTTTAAATGTGTGGATTTAAATCTGGGTCTTCAATTCTATTACATTGATCAATTTGTCTGTTATTATTCTAGTACCATGCTTTTTCTTTTCTTTTTTCTTTTTATCTTTTGGTCTTTTTGAGACATGGTCTCCCTCCAGCCCCCCTTCCAAGTGCTGTGATGAAAGGCGTGTGTCACCTCGCCCATATCATGCTGTTTTTCTTAATGCTAGTCTATGTCTATTAATTCCCTTATTTGCTGCCTTTATTTTCATGACTTTTTTGAGCTAGAAGTAGATCATTCTTAAATTACCTTTAACTTATAGTTTCTGCTGCCATATGCTCACTGGGTCATAAATACAAAAACCAACACATCCAATCTGAAGATATATGTCATTGCCATAAGATGTGACACTGTCATTAAGACAGTCTTTATCTTAGTTTATAACGTTGTCATTAACTCATTAGAATCAGTTCCTTGAATCTTGTCTGGATACTTTAAAATTTCTTTCTATCCGAGTTCCGAAATGTCTTCATAGCTAATTATATTGATACCAGGACTTTGAGTTTTGCCCTTATCATCTCTAAATATCTTCTTTTGATGGCTTTCTTACTAGTTTCTTCTTGCCCCATCTCTCTCCAAATTTCCCCTTACCAATTTTATCTTCAAACTACCTCACCTATGGAAAGCCTTAGGCAGGGTTAGGGGGATCACCTCTTGGAGTTAGCATATGAAACATTCATTCACATAATTAATGAGAACTTTTGAGAACCCAATCATTGAGTTGATGACCATGGACTAGTGCAAAGCCATGCAAGTTGCTTATTCAAAATAAAATGCATATACCATTCCTGGGCAAATGCCCAAAGGACTACCTATCCTACCACAGAGATATTTGCACGTCCACGTTTATTCCTGCACTATTCACAATTGCAAGGAAACAGAAGCAACACCTAGAAGGGATAATAAAAATGCAGCACACACACACACACACACACACACACACACACATATATATATATATATGCGGAATTTTACTAATCTGTTAAAAAAATGAAATTTGCAGGAGAATCAGTAGAACTGAAAACGAATTACATTAAGCAGCATCACACAGTTTCAGAAAGAAAAATCCTGCATGTTCTCTCTCATATGCAGAACCCAACTCCAGTGTTTATATGTCTGCAATTAAGGGGTTATGAGAGTGGGGATAGACTATGATACTAGATAAGAGACCATGACAGGGAACAAGAGGTGTGAGGAAAGAGAGAGCAGAGAAGGGGGCAGAAAGTGAAAGAAAGGTATGCTTTAGGAAGGCATAAGAGAGGGAGGAAGATAGGGAAGAATGGAACAAAGATAAATCACAAAAACATTTTTTTAATATTCCATAATGGAACCTAATTCTTTGTAAACCAATACATACATATGCATATATTTTGCCAAATAAATGTTCTATCTCAAAATCTCCTGTTTAGATCCTTTAATTATATATTTGTATGCTCATCTACTATTGGAAGCTCAAAGATGTCATTCTTCTGGAAGATTCAGTGATCATATCATTACAGTGAGTCTAATCTATTTGAGATGAATGGGTACAGAAGTTCTTTGTGCAATGATGTCATCGCTGAACTACACATAAAACTTTATGAGCAGTTCACATTAAATGAAGCAATATTCATTTGAATGTACAAATTCTGATAAAGTTGTTAAAATAATCACATCACAAGAGACCCATGCTTTATGAATAATTTTTCTTCAACACACAAATCTAATGAGCTGCTTTTAGTTTTACACATGAAGTTAATAAACTGCACATAGAGAGTTCAATAATACATCTGTCATAAAAATAATGATGAATGTCATCTTATGCAAAGCAAAAAGAAACTGGGAGGCAATTACATTTATATAAAAAGCAATTAAGAGTTAACAGAATAGCAGAAAATTTTTGTAAAAAGGAAACCTCTTAAATTTAATATTCATCTTTTTCTGTTAATTCTTTATCTAATGAAAGGATCCCTAGCTCATATGTCACATAAAGTATTTCTCATATGAGTAATTCCACATGAATGTTAGAAATGCATGACCTAACAATGGAAACAAGTCTCTACTTAATTAACTATTATAAATAATAAAATTCATCATCAAAACAATGTTGTAAATAAATTGTTCCATAAGAATAAATATAATAATCAATAATTCTTCTTTACAAAAGTTCTTTCTATAAGGAGAAAATTTGCAAGTGTGAACGGAAGCCTATGGCATGCCAAAGTATCAAAGCATGCATTTTCTTAAAACTATATAAATTCATTCTCTAATTTCAGTTTATTTCACACAAGGCCTTATATAACCCAGGTGCTGACTTCCAAAAGGCTGTATAGTTGAAGATGACTTTGAACTTCCTCTTTTCTGGGATTACAGCTATGTGCTACTATGTTCAGTTTATGTGGTGCTAGGAATCAAATCCAGCATCTTGGGCATGCTAGGCAAGTGCTCTACCAACTGAGTTGCAGTTCTATTTTAACACAGAAGCAGAATGTGTAGAGATGGATGACTTAAAATATAGACACAAGTCTATACATTAGCAGTGAGAGATATATGTGTCTATTATTAAAGCTGTGCATAATAACATTTATTTTGGGCTATTCACAGGTTTTAGACTAAAAGCTTCTATTTCAATATTAAATTGGTACTTCTCAAGAATAATTTTTCAGTGAAAATAATTTTGCAAAGTGTGCAGAGGATCCTAGACTTACATCTCCTATTAAGCCTTTAATACCATGTAAAACCTGAAATATTGATGCATGAGGCTGGTAGGGAAAACTTAAGGGGAAAAATCATCCTTTTCTAACATCCAATTGTCTTTTCCATTTGTTTTCTTAGGAAAACAACCCTCTCCCTTGTTTTAATTAACATCCTCCTTTCTATAACATCTAAACCAAAGATGTTCAGAACATTGTAGCTCTCCTTTACCTGTGTTGGTCACCTTTCACACCTTTACTTTTCCTGAATTCACATTTTCCATTCAAGCATGCTGTACGGCTCTGAAATAATTCACAGCTTTGTTCACAGTTTTGTTAACATCTTGATCTCATCTAGAGTTTATACATCAATCAGCGGATATTTAAAATGCAGCTGCATGAATCGGGCCATGCCATCCATCTCCATAATTCCTCATAATAACTCCCTGGTAACCTCAGACTCTGATCTTCAAGAAGCCCTTCTGCCTATTTGGCAGCTTCATCAGAGGCCATGCATGACACTATTGAACAGCATTCCTTTCATGCCTCCTTTCCTTACAGTTAACTCTGTTTTCCAAACCACTGAGTCCCATGCTCAGTCCAATTAGCATCTGTTCATTTCTATTGTAGTGATCCTTGACTGCTACCAACATCCTATATGAGAAAGAACGCATGCTACACTTCTCCATAGACTTTATCACAGTTATAAATGATTACAAAAAAAGACACCCATTAATTTCTTTATGATGGCAGCAGACATGATTTATCATAACATGGTTTCAGAATGCAGAACAGCTCCTATCAAAGAGTGTACACTTGACAATATGAAGATTTTCTGAATGAATCATAGAAGGAATGAGTTGATGGGAGACTGAAATTAGAAAGTAGATGTGAGACAGACTGAAAGAGTCATAAGCATCTGCTTGGAACTTGGGAGTTTGTAAGCCAAATAAATTTCTCTCCTTTTTCAATGTGTCTGTGTCTCTGCAGGTTGTGATTTGATTCCAGTACAGTACCTTCGCTGGGGTGACCCTGAGCCAATTGCAGCTGTGGTGTTCGCCTGCCTCGGACTGCTAGCCACCCTGTTTGTCACTGTCATCTTCATCATTTATCGTGACACTCCAGTGGTCAAGTCCTCCAGCAGGGAACTCTGCTACATTATTCTTGCTGGCATCTGCCTGGGCTACTTATGTACCTTCTGCCTCATTGCGAAGCCCAAGCAGATTTACTGTTATCTCCAGAGAATTGGCATTGGTCTCTCACCAGCCATGAGCTACTCAGCCCTTGTAACCAAGACCAACCGTATTGCAAGGATCCTAGCTGGCAGCAAGAAGAAGATCTGTACCAAAAAGCCCAGATTTATGAGTGCCTGTGCCCAGTTAGTGATTGCCTTCATCCTCATCTGCATCCAGTTGGGCATTATTGTTGCCCTGTTTATCATGGAGCCTCCAGATATAATGCATGACTACCCAAGCATTCGAGAAGTCTACTTGATTTGTAACACCACCAACCTAGGAGTCGTCACTCCTCTTGGGTACAATGGATTACTGATTTTGAGTTGCACCTTCTATGCGTTCAAGACCAGAAATGTTCCAGCCAACTTTAATGAGGCCAAGTATATCGCCTTCACCATGTATACCACCTGCATCATATGGTTGGCTTTTGTGCCAATCTACTTCGGCAGCAACTACAAAATCATCACCATGTGTTTCTCAGTCAGCCTCAGTGCTACAGTGGCCCTGGGCTGCATGTTTGTGCCAAAGGTGTACATCATCCTGGCCAAACCAGAGAGAAATGTGCGCAGCGCTTTCACCACCTCTACAGTGGTGCGCATGCATGTAGGGGATGGCAAATCATCCTCCGCGGCCAGCAGATCCAGCAGCCTTGTCAACCTATGGAAGAGGAGGGGCTCCTCTGGGGAAACCCTAAGGTAACCATTGTGGGGCCATAGCAGGGCACACCTGCTACAGCTGAAACTCTGTCATTTGCACCCTAATGTTGACCCAAGAGAGGTCTGAGTGATTAGAACTATAGGAGGCAGAGTGTTGTAGGGCTCAGAATCTCCTCATGAGTTTTTGGACATGAGTTGAATAATGTCCAGTTATTGAAGCTGGGGCTAGAAGCATAGAAGTCAAGACCACTGATAAGGCAGTTACATTAAAAGAAAAGGTAGATCAGAGGAAGAACAGAATTAAGTCATTGAGCTAAAGCAAAGACCTTCAGGGCTATAAATATTGGAAGCTAAATTTTAGTCCCAAAAACAAAGTAGAGAAGATGGCATTTAACAAACAATTGTGAGTCTGTCTCAGCAAACTGCCAAAAGTCAAATTCACCTTAGTACATTTGCACGTGCCTGGGCCTCACTGAAGCCCCAAGACCTTTTGATCGTACTTTGCATAGAAGCATTAAGATATATAGCTTATAATTTAGTTATTAATGGACAAGATAAACACTTTGGGATGATGTCTAAATAGCTTGAAAAGACAAACAACAAAATGCCTTTGCATACAATTGTCCTAAACTCATTAGTTTCCCTGTTCTCTGTTACCTAAAGCACCAATCCACCCCAAGTTCGATATCGTAAACAGCAGCTAGTAATTTCTATCTGAAAATAGTTTAGCACCAACAGCCAGTAAATGAGTGAATTTGTCTCTCCTAACTGTCCCCACAGACTCAAAATTGAGGCCATGTTATCAGTGGGCTTGAAAACAAGTTCTAATGTATTAAAAAATGTTACACAGATTGCTGATATCTGGAAAGAAAGAGGTACAATTCCATAGATCTGTGGACTAAAAATAAAATTTACTTTTATTTAAGATGTACCTATCAAAAAGCTAGTCAGGACATGGCTACTGAGGTTTGATAGTACTTCTAAAAGCTAGATAAGTAAATGGAAAGTATGTATTTTCAAATAGAAGATGTGTCTTTCAAATGGAAGATAAGTATCTAAATAGTATTGCTTGAACGATTCTTATGTGCTCTCCTCTAACCTCCATGAAGGTCTTTTCCATCATCCCTGCTTCTTCAAAGCGTGAATGATAGTGATGATAACGATACTACACCTGCTGAGGTCTAAAAAGAACTCAGAAAATACTTGGAGAATTTAGCCATGAGGCCTAATTTTTGTGAATTATTAGCTCTTTCTTCATTTAATTATTTTTTAATTACTTTACATTTCTCATATCTTCCCATGTATGTTGTATAAGAAAGACACTTGACAAATTAAATTATATGATTCTCTTCTTCAACAAACCCCAGCAGAGACTTGAACTAAGAGAAGTTTATTCATAGAAGGCCTTCCATATATCTAACCTGTTCACATATTTTCCATCTCCATTCTGACGTGTCTATGAAACACTCTTTTTCTGAAACTTCCACAAGATTAGCTTTCCATTTTGACTAAGAACAATTGTTTTTATTTCATCGTTCCTTTACCAAATAAAATTTTTCCAGAGAAAATTGATATGTAAAACATACAAGGTGACATAGGAAGAGAATTGTAATCTGGGTCTGAGTACCAGGAACTCACCAGGGAAGGCTCCTTAGGCAGTACAGAGTGGTAGCAAAGAACACGGGCTGTGTACTTAGCTTTTCCTTTATTTCTATGCTAGCATTGACATTTCCTCTTTGTACCTTATTGTCTTCATTTGACTGGTTGGGATTGAATCATTTATATAATGGGATTGTAAGGAATGGAGACAACAGCAGGCCCTTTAGTCAAGGTAACAGAGTGAACAGTTGTGAGGGCTCATCAACCATTCATGTAGTGTTGGCCACATAGTAAGCACTTATTGGTCTTAAGGCCATCAAATAGGAGGGAATCTCTGCACAGAAATGACAACATAGCCAAATATGCATGATTGCAGAGGTCATAGACTCCAGGGGAGAAAATACTACTTCCACTTTCCTAAACCAATATAATGCATTACCATATTCTAAATGTGATATATTTGCAAGTAAATACTCACCATCCATCAAAGAAACCTCGTTTTTCAGCAGATGGAGACTATTACAATGCTCCACAACAGATCAAACTGCAGAAAATAAGCTATGTTGGAGTGCCTAGTCCCAATTGATACATCTACAATGTAATCCCTGTATCCAAGGCTAGAGAACATCCTGGAAGAGAGGATGGAAAGACTGTAAGAGTCCAAGGATCAGAATGCCTCCTGCTAGATAGCTTATTGTAGGAACAGCTTTCACAATGAGGACATAATCTATACTAAAGACTTTCACTGATCTATATGATCCTCTTGTAACCTGGACACCTGACCTTATTCCCTCAGGACTCCTCATTGTCCTCCATCCAAGATAATGAATTGGACGCATGTATGAATGCCTTACATACGAAAGTGCTAAAAACAGTATGCTTATTTCATTGAAAAGAATGAAAAAAATGAGAATTCTGTTATGTGCATATGATATTCTAGGACTAGAGATCAAAAGGCAATAAGAATGTGTACTTTTACTTCCCTATTTCATGCTGTAGATACTGTTTCAATAAATAATGAGCAAAGCCCTTTCTGAGGATCCCAGTTCTGAGAGACAATTGAGGAAACAGGTGTTTGACAGTTTGGGTCCATTCATGACCTTATGAATGCTGAGAGTCAGGCTGTTTCTTCTTTAAGCATCACAGAAACGCATACATTGGGAATTCTGAGGGAAGGCTGAAGCAATTGATATTGCCTAAAAACTGTTGAAGAGAACTTAATGTTTTCCTTTGGGAACAATTTTAATTTATTTATATTGATAAATGAAAAAAGAAATGAGTGAAAATATAAGTAAGATGGTTGAATGAAATATTTAGCCAAATTTTATCTGGGGCTAGCTATAAATAAAAATTTTTTTAAATGAAGTTTATAAATCTTTCAGAATAGTTTGGTTTTTATCTTTAGTAGAAGGGGATGATAAGATAGTCTCCATATAATGAAATATATAAATATTGGGAAATTTTGTCTATGGTATAGATCACCTTAGTTACCCATCATTGACAAAAAGTAGGGTTATTAATCATAGCTTAAGGGAGAACTTTCCATTAATAATGAGACATGAGTGCCTGGTTATGAGATTAGACAGAAAAGGCAAATCTGTCTTTTTGTCTTCAAACTTAAGAGGGAGCTGGGTGAAATGTGGAAGCACTGAGATTCTGAGTTACAAATGTAGGGAGCTGATTTGTATCACCACGCTGACCTGAGCTCTCACTTCTCCCATTTCCCAAAATTGGATCTCCTTTGTTATCAAATGTAGATCAACACTGAGTAGCCCAGTGAAAGCCCTTTTTACATTTTGGGCATATTTTAGAGGAGAATTTCTTAGACTGAAAAGTATTAGTATTCTTTCATTTACATTGTTTTTAAAATGACTTACTTTTGCATATTTGAAACATGTGGGAGGGTGCAGGGCTGCTGCAAGAATTTGGGCTTTACGTTCTTCAGAGACAGCATTCTGGCATGATTTTATCATATCAGCAATAGCATGAATGAGAGTAGCACCTACAGATGAAGTTCTTATAGTCAGAATTTGCATTCTTGTAAGCCAATGAGAGATAAGGTGGGAGCAGCCTCTTTATTCTTTATTTCTCTATAGATAGCTAACTGTAGATAAATAACAAAGTTCATAAAGGTCTCTACAGGTTTTTATCTGATGCCAGAAAAAAATAAAAAACTCTGAGTGTGTTTTAAGATCAAGGACTTTAGTCCAAGCCTAAGCAGCAGTTCAGCTGATCTGTTCATTAGCCATCTGAGGCAAGATGTAGAGCCACTTCCAATGCCTCTTTGTATGATTAAATTGATTATAAATAATATTTATAGGTGCTTTCTGCTTTTGGTTATGAGCAGCAATGGAATGGCATTCATCCATCCATTCCTGGAGCCGCAGACTTCGTTGAGCAAAAGTCAGAATTGTTTTGTAAGGGATTGCCAGTCAAATGTTTTCATTTCATATGTATTATTGATAACTTCCACTATTCCTCTAGTGAAATGATTTGAACTCCATTCTCTGCAACACCCTTTTTGAGATCTTTATATATGGAGAATGACATTCCTTCATGGGTGAAATTTTGTCCTACCTCGCTAATGACAGGGAATGTGGTAAAAAATAAATAAATAAAATAAAATTCCTCCTGCTTGAGATGCCAGATGTCTCCTTAAGGCACTTCTGCAAAGCACTAATGATACATGTGGTCATGTATCATTTATTATATCATCAGCTGGCAGAAAACTAGGCAGAGGAGGTGTGTGAAGCTCAAAATAAGCTAGTTTGTGGGGTTTTTCTTAATTCCTCTTTTTCTCTAGATAAGGTTGAATATCTACTCTAATTTGATTCCGAAAGTTAGATTTTTCAATTTAATTTGTCCTAAGTAGCAGCATAATTGATCACCAGTTCTTTCCCAAGATTCTGAATTAAGTGTCCCATAGTTAGGATACCAAGAAAAATATTTCTGAAGAGCATCTAAAAGTTCATAGATTTGTTTTAATGATACTTTAACCCCGAGTCCTTTAAGTACAGTCTTTAATTGTAATGCATATACATGGGAGTCAGGAGACAAATAATGAAAGCAGGAAGGCCAAAGTTCTGAGCACAGTTGCTGGTAATTCAGGCCTGGTAAAGAAAGACATAAATGCAAAAAAATGAACAAAGAATTATTAAAGTGTACTGGTACAAGCTATCAAAAAAGCATTTGGCTGGTTGTCCTACCACTTAGCATTTTATATGACTGAGAACTTTTAATAGTCCCTTTTGCCTTGAACTTTGGGCATGAGTTAATACTCCTGTGAAAGCTACCAAAGATAGCTTCATGTTCCATGTCATGTAACTTACAACATACGAATGGGCTACCCTATATTTTCCTCTTTCCTCAGGACTTCTCCAGCTGCAGATCTGTAAGCTCAGAGTACAGTCTCTTCCTTACAAAAGACATTATAACATGGA